CGTTACAGCCTTATTCTAAAATGGATTAAATCATTTTTTCCCCTTATCAATCTGCACACAATACCCCATTCTGACAATGCAAAAACAGGTTTTTAGAAATTCTTCAAGTTATTAATAATAAAAAACTGAAATACCTTATTTAGATAGATATTCAGACCCTTTGCTATGAGACTCGAAATTGAGCTCAGGTGCATCCTGTTTCCATTGATCATCCTTGAGATGTTTCTACAACTAGATTGGAGTCCACCTGTGGTAAATTCAATTGATTGAACATGATTTGGAAAGGCACAAAACTGTCTATATAAGGTCCCACAGATGACAGTGCATGTCAGAGCAAAAACCAAGCCATGAGGTCGAAGGAATTGTCCGTAGAGCTCCGAGACAGGATTGTGTTGAGGCACAGGTCTGGGGAAGGGTACCAAAATGTTTTTGCAGCATTGAAGGTCCCCAATAACACAGTGGCCTCCATCATTCTTAAATGGAAGAAGTTTAGAACCACCAAGACTCTTCCTAGAGCTGGCCGCCCGGCCAATCTGAGCAATCGGGGGAGAAGGGCCTTGGTCAGGGAGGTGACCAAAAACCCGATGGTCACTCTGAATGAGCTCCAGAGTTCCTCTGTGGACATGGGAGAACCTTCCAGAAGGACAACCATCTCTGCAGCATTCCACCAATCAGGCCTTTACGGTAGAGTGGCCAGACGGAAGCCACTCCTCAGTAAAAGGCACATGACAGCCCGCTTGGAGTTTGCCAAAAAGCACCTAAAGGACTCAGAACATGAGAAACAAGATTCTCTGGTCTGATGAAACTAAGATTGAACTCTTTGGCTTGAATGCCAAGCGTCACGTCTGGAGGAAACCTGTCACAATCTCTACGGTGAAGCATGGTGGTGGCAGCATCATGCTGTGGGGATGTTTTTCAGCGGCAGGGACTGGGAGACTAGTCAGGATCAAGGGAAAGATGAACGGAGCAAAATACAGAGATATCCTTGATGAAAACCTGCTCCAGAGCGCTCAGGACCTCAGACTGTGGCGAAGGTTCACCTTCCAACAGGACAAAGACCCTAAGCACACAGCCAAGACAACGCAGGAGTGGCTTCGGGACAAGTCTCTGAATGTCCTTGAGTGGCCCAGCCAGAGCCCGGACTTGAACCTGATCGAACATCTCTGGAGAGACCCAAAAATAGCTGTGCACCGACGCTCCCCATCCAACCTGACAGAGCTTGAGAGGATCTGCAGAGACGAATGGGAGAAACTCCCCAAATACAGGTATGCCAAGCTTGAAGCGTCATACCCAAGAATACTTGATGCTATAAACACTGCCAAAGGTGCTTCAACAAAGTACTGAGTAAAGGGTCAGAATACTTATGTAAATGTGATATTTATGTTTTTGTTTTTTTGCAAACATTTCGAAAAACCTGTTTTTCTTTGTCATTATGGGGTATTTGTAAGTCGCTCTGGATAAGAGCATCTGCTAAATGACTTAAATGTAAAAAAAATGTATTGTGTGTAGATTGATGAGGAATACAACAATTTAATCCATTTTAGAATAAGGCTGTAACGTAACAAAATGTGGAAAACGTCAAGGGGTCTGAATACTTTCCGAATGCACTGTATTTGGGCCATTGGAAAATCTTATTATTTTGAATAAATTAGAGTAAGGGTGAGGGATGAGAAGGAGAAGTGAGGCTTGACTAGAGTAGGGGTGATAACTGACCAATGCAGGGGTGACGAGGGTTAAAGAGGAGGGGTGACGTTTAACTAGTCCAAGGTTGATACTTGACTAAGTGAGGGGTGAGGTTTGAGGAGGAGGAATGACAGAGTTCCTATTATGTATTCCGTACACCTTTGTACCATGCTGATCCCAGCAGGCCCATGGGATTATTGTTGAGAAAAATACCCTGCTCTGTTGAATTTAATTTAGATTTTATTCTGAAAATATTGCAACTTTATTCTTGAAGTATTTCACATTTTTGCCAAAAACATTATCCAAGTACCATCACCGTTTATTTATGTTTCTCTTCACTTGTCCCTAATACTGTAGTTCTATCGCGCATGCAATGATGTTAATAAAAAAATAACTGTGTTGGTTTTTTGCAGTAATTTCTTTATTTTTGTAATATCTCAAACAGATGTGGCAGTTTCACCAATTAAGGATTCTTCATTGGTGAAACTGCTTTAAAAATAAACTGTAGACTGCATTTCGGTATTTTGCGAAAGCCTTGATGTGCACTTACAGTTGAAGTTTGAAGTTTACATACACTTAGGTTGGAGTCATTAAAACTAGTTTTTCAACCACTCCACAACTTTCTTGTTAACAAACTATAGTTTTGGCAAGTCGGTTAGGACATCTACTTTGTGCATGACACAAGTAATTGTTCCAACAATTGTTTACAGACAGATTATTTCACTTATAATTGATTGTATCACAATTCCAGTGGGTCAGAAGTTTACATACACTAAGTTGACTGTGCCTTTAAACAGCTTGGAAAATTCCAGAAAATGATGTCATGGCTTTAGAAGCTTCTGATAGGCTAATTGACATCATTTGAGTCAATTGGAGGTGTACCTGTGGATGTATTTCAAGGCCTACCTTCAAACTCAGTGCCTCTTTGCTTGACATCATGGGAAAATCAAAAGAAATCAGCCAAGACCTCAGAAAAAAAAATTGTAGACCTCCATCATTGGGAGCAATTTCCAAACGATGAAGGTACCACGTTCATCTATACAAACAATAGTACGCAAGTATAAATACCATGGGACCACACAGCCGTCATACCGCTCAGGAAGGAGACGCGTTCTGTCTCCTAGAGATAAACGTACTTTGGTGCGAAAGTGCAAATCAATCCCAGAACAACAGCAAAGGACCTTGTGAAGATGCTGGAGGAAACAGGTACAAAAGTATCTATATCCACAGTAAAACGAGTCCTATATTGACATAACCTGAAAGGCCGCTCAGCAAGGAAGAAGACACTGCTCCAAAACCACCATAAAAAAGCCAGATTACGGTTTGCAACTGCACATGGGGACAAAGATCGTACTTTTTGGAGAAATGTCCTCTGGTCTGATGAAACAAAAATAGAACTGTTTTGCCATAATGACCATCGTTATGTTTGGAGGAAAAAGGGGTCAGCTTGCAAGCCGAAGAACACCATCCCAACCGTGAAGCACGGGGGTGGCAGCATCATGCTGTGGGGGTGCTTTGCTGCAGGAGGGACTGGTGCACTTCACAAAATAGATGCCATCATGAGGAAGGAAAATTATGTGGATATATTGAAGCAACATCTCAAGACATCAGTCAGGAAGTTAAAGCGTGGTCGCAAATGGGTCTTCCAAATGGACAATGACCCCAAGCATACTTCCAAAGATGTGGCAAAATGGCTTAAGGACAGCAAAGTCAAGGTATTGGAGTGGCTATCACAAAGCCCTGACCTCAGTCCTATAGAAAATGTGTGGGCAGAACTGAAAAAGCGTGTGCGAGCAAGGAGGCCTACAAACCTGACTCAGTCACACCAGCTCTGTCAGGAGGAATGGGCCAAAATTCACCCAACTTATTGTGGGAAGCTTGTGGAAGGCTACCTGAAACATTTGACCCAAGTTAAACAATTTAAAGGCAATGCTACCAAATACTAATTGAGTGTATGTAAACTTCTGACCCACTGGGAATGTGATGAAATAAATAAAAGCTCTACTATTATTCTGACATTTCACATTCTTAAAATAATGTGGTGATCCTAACTGACCTAAAACAGGGAATTTGTACTAGGATTAAATGTCAGGAATTGTGAAAAACTGAGTTTAAATGTATTTGGCTAAGGTGTATGTAAACTTCTGACTTCAACTGTATTATGGCCAGATGTGCTACTTGGGTCAGATTGTAAAGATAAGATACTTGGCAAAGATTAGTAAAGATAAAACTTAAAATGTAGTATCATGGTTAATCTTCAAAAAATAGTAGCTGCAAACTTTGCCCTTATCCTTAGCCTCCACATCGTATCCACCCATGGCACTAGCTATATCTATAACAATTTCATGCACATGTTTCAAGGAACCTGCTTGTGTTGATCAAATCCAAGATGTTGCTACAGTAGCTTCATATTAAGCTGATTTGATGAAAGATGGCTGACATCTATTTCATCAGGCCTGCTCACTTTACTGTTCCAGCATGGACAGAATAGAGAGGCAATTTATTGTGGCTGGGTTGGGGAAGTTCTAGCGGTTTATCGTTGGAGAAAGAGCACATTAACAGTGTTGTGCTCAAGCTGATGTAATGTGATCTTGTTTTTTTACAAACTTTTACTGAACTGAACTGATTTAATCTGAGAAAGAAGGAAACCACTGAACTCAACATGCAATATTACGAGTCTTAATTTGTCCCCCATATAAAGTGCAAGGAAATGTTTTGCATTGTGAAACTGTGTTGTGTTGAAGCAGACTGGTTATATTGCATCTTGACAGGGAGATAATGTTTTAATCAGGCTCCTACTCATTTGACTTTTTAAAATGTCCCCCATTTTTGCTCTAGAAACAAGCTGTTGACAAGATGTCAAACCTTTGGTCTTTTTGACCCTTCCAAAGTGGAAGTTTGTGTTTTGGCATGTTAATAAGTGTCTCTCAAATTCTTTCTCATGTTTTTACTGACAGCACAGTGACTAATCTTGGCACCTTGGAACATTATTGTCATTATTTTGGTGAATTACAAATGTATTTCTTTATTAAAATTACATAATTTAGATTGTGAGTGTGTTTGTTGGTGTGTGTGCAGGATGGATGGGGGGCGTGCGTTTATACGCGTGTGCTTGTGTGTTTCTGAACCGCATGTATTCAGCTGTATATTTGAACATATGTGAACAGTTGTGTATATTGCTAAATTCCCTCACAATCTGAACAGTCATTTAAGTACAGTTGTATCATGCATTTGGCAATTGTTAACAGCTGTACCAAATATTACACTATTCTTCTACCATTACTCATCCATGTTTCAATTCTTGACCTTATGTAGCACGTAAACTGAAAAAGATTGGACAGCTGAAGAGCCCAGAGGATGATCTGCCCACCCAAGGTCCCACTGATGCCATCCAGTGCGTCTCTCCCCAGTCCTGCCTGACCTTCCATTCCCAGCTGGTGTTCCTCAACATCTTGGAGTCCATCGAGCCAGAGGTGGTTAACGCGGGACACGACCATTGCCAGCCGGACTCAGCTGCAGTGCTGCTCACCAGCCTCAACGAACTCGGGGAGCGCCAACTGGTCAAAGTGGTCAAGTGGGCCAAAGGCATGCCAGGTACAGTACTGGAATAGAAGAATCATACAAAACGTATTTCCATGTGGTCCTTAATAAGTTCATTGTTTCAAAGATGTCATTATTTGATTTATAACAAGTTTGCAATGGCATTACAGCAAATTGGTAGTGAAGGCATTAAGAATTCATCAGAGATGTTTTGATAATAATTGAATTGTTATTAATGACAGTTCCATTTTCGTGTGGTTTTTCATTTTCTTCTCAGGTTTTCGGAATCTGCATGTGGATGACCAGATGACAGTCATCCAGCATTCATGGATGGGGGTGATGGTGTTCGGCTTGGGATGGAGGTCCTACAAAAATGTCAACGCCAGAATGCTGTACTTTGCCCCAGACCTTGTTTTCAATGAGTATGTGCAGCTATGTGATACTGAATTCAATTATCTCCGCTAAATTATCTTATTACCCCCAGGGCCACACCTCAGTGTTGTCCCCATTATGTTGGTGGAGATTTCCTCCAGTGAGTTGGCTTCTGGCTGTACGTCAGATGCCAATTTTCTTCCCTCTATGTCCGTCTTGCTCCCTGTCCCTGTCTCTGTCTCTGTCTCTGTCTCTCATTTTCTCTTGCTCTTTCTCTCCCTCTACTTGCCTCTCGCTCTTTCTGTCTCTCTCTCACCGATATGTCAAGAATTCCATGTGCACAAGGGCTTACAAGCCTGGCTTTCAGTAACATTTATATTTCATTTCCTTGTTTGGTGTTCTTTTGTCACATGGTAAATCCTGAGGAAGATGTGATTTTTTTCAGCATTCCATCACCTATGGTGCAAGTAGTGATATTTAGTTCAGATCTGAATATTACTGAGTACGTTAGTATCAGTAGGTGACTGAGGCAATTCAATGGCATTTCAAGTGTCATTACTAGTGTTGCAAAATTCCAGGAACTTTCAATAAATTCCCTAGTTTTCCCAAAATCACGGTGGTAGGATTCTCGGAATTAGGAGGGAATAAGCAGGAAATCTGGAATACTCCAACCAGGATTTCTGGAAAACCAGGGAATTTATTGAAAGTTCCCGGAATTTTGCAACACTAGTCATCATTACTAAGGAATATGCACAAATACAACAGTGCAGAAAATTGTGGGGATATTATTACCCTGCCATGAGGTAAATATAAATGTTACAACTAAAGCATCCTTATTATCATTAGCTAGGTTTCCATCCAATTGGCAACAGATTTTCATGCAAATATTAAAAAATCTGCATAAAAACAATATGCGCATTTTCCCACCAGAGATGTGTTTCCATCAAATTGACTTGTTGCAGATAAAAGGCTGTGCGTGATGACGTAGTGCACATAAAAATACCTTTTGCGGTTAAATCCCATGTACTGAATAAAAAATACAAGTTAAATGGATTTCCATCCCATTTTCAACTCTATTCATGGTTTTCTCACCAAAATGTTTTTGTTATATAGCGAGTGTGCCCATTCTGGTATTGGCACATGTACTCTGACCAACAGCGTGCAGATATTTGCACGCTGTTGACTAGAGCGCACGTATATCCTACATGAGATTATTATGGACAAAAGAGCGAGATTATTTTTATTTGTCAAACGGCAGCCAAGCATCGATGGTCATGTCACCAGAATAAGACCCTCGATATTTATTGGAAAGGAGCATCAAGCTCATCACCTTGCACTTTCACCACCTTGTGAAGTTCATCATAAATTGTTTAATCTGTAGTTTAATAAACTGCATGCTTTCCCGGGAGAACCACACAACATGTCATCGCGTGAGAACCACACAACATGTCACTCCCAAGTTTACTTCGATATGATGGTTAGTATGTCAATATTTGCGCATAAAAGCGTTTCCACCAACATTTCTCACATAATTCATTTTACAGACACAAAAAGATCCCACCTTGTCTAGCGTATTTTGTTTTGTCGACATTTGGCAAGTTTACCGAAAAATGTTCTGTTTCCATCAGGCCTGTCATGACATATTTTATCCGATATGTACTTTACTGGCATAAAAAGGTTGGATAGAAACCTGGTTAGTGATCCATGTAGCTAAGTAAGATGCTGAGAATATTAACTTCTATTACCGTGAACTATGTCTGCAAATTATGTATACATTAGATGTACAATGTCATCATTAGATATACAATATCATCATAGAAAATCATGTAATCAGGTCACATTTTCAGTTTGTTTGAAAATAATCCTGCATAACAGCAGCATTCAGTACCAATCACTGTGATCCTGTATTATCAGATTGTATACCCAGCGGGCAAAACTAGTTGAAATGACATCATTACAACCAGATTTCAACCAACTTTGCCGCTGGGCAGTAGGTCAAAGGTCACATATTAGCCTATAACTATGGTCATAAAGAGGGAGGATGACAATTGTAATCATTGCAACAGTTTCACATAAGGGTCTCACCCTCTTACCCCCTCTATCTATATCTCTCACAGCAACATGCTCACAGATTATCCCTCTCTTAATATATTCCCCATAGGTTCCCTCACCCCCCTCTGGTCTTTCATTGGCTCATTCTCTTTATACTGTATCTCCCCCTGACCCTCACTGGCCTCCTCCCTCTCGTCTCTCTCGTCCCCAGCCATCGGATGCACATCTCCAGCATGTTCGAGCACTGCATACGGATGAGACACCTCTCCCAGCAGTTTGTCCTGCTGCAAGTCACTCGCGAAGAGTTCCTCTGCATGAAGGCCCTGCTACTCTTCAGCATCAGTGAGTGTTGCTGCCCAGCCCAACGTTGACAGGTCCATTCAAATAATGTAGAGAGCCTCACATTGTGTATTTGTTTTTTCATTAAATTGATTTGCAAGCAATGTCCTCTAAGCCATTTTCATAGAATTTCGAACATACTTTATTATCAATAGTGATAACACGAACAAAACAATAAACAATAACGTGACGTCCTAGGTCTAACACAACCTACTTGGAACAAGATCCCACAACTACTGTGGGAAAACAGCCTGTCTAAATGTGGTTCCCAATCAGAGACAACCAGCAACAGCTGACACTCGTTGCCTCTGATTGAGAACCACTCTGGCCAACATAGAAATGAAACAACTAGAAACTACAACACAGAACACAAACACATAGAATCTACACACCCTGGCTCAACATATAGAGTCCCCAGAGCCAGGGTGTGACAGTACCCCCCCCCCCCCCCCAAAGGCGCGGACTGCGACCGCGACCGCGCCTAAACATAAACCAAACAGGGGAGGGCTGGGTGGGCATTCCTCCTTGGAGGCGGTTCCGGCTCCGGGCTTGACCACCACCCTTCAACCATCCCCCCGTAGCGCCCCTGGTCCGGTCTGGCCCAGCTGGCTGGAGCTGGACTGGACATCGTAGGAGCGGATTGTTTAGGCTCCGGTGTGGAGCAGCTGACCGGTACCTGACCAGGCACCGGTGACCCAGGCACGGGTTGTGCCGGACTGACGACGCGCACCCCTGGCTTGGTGCGTGGAGCAGGAACGGGCCGGACCGGGCTGACGATGCGCACCCCTGGCTTGGTGCGTGGAGCAGCAACGGGCCGGACCGGGCTGACGATGCGCACCCCTGGCTTGGTGCGTGGAGCAGGAACGGGCCGTACCGGGCTGACGACTCGCACCCCTGGCTTGGTGCGAGTGGCAGGAACAGGCCGGGCCGGGCTGGCGACGCGCACCGTAGGCTTGGTGCGAGGGGCAGGAACAGGCCGGGCCGGGCTGGCGATGCGCACCATTAGCTTGGTGCGGGGAGCAGGAACAGGCCGGGCCGGGCTTGCGACGCGTACCATTAGCTTGGTGCGGGGAGCAGGAACAGGCCGGGCCGGGCTGGCGACGCGCACCATTAGCTTGGTGCGGGGAGCAGGAACAGGCCGGGCCGGGCTGGCGACGCGCACCATTAGCTTGGTGCGGGGAGCAGGAACAGGCCGGGCCGGGCTGGCGACGCGCACCATTAGCTTGGTGCGGGGAGCAGGAACAGGCCGGGCCGGGCTGGCGACGCGCACCATTAGCTTGGTGCGGGGAGCAGGAACAGGCCGGGCCGGGCTGGCGACGCGCACCATTAGCTTGGTGCGGGGAGCAGGAACAGGCCGGGCCGGGCTGGCGACGCGCACCACTAGCTTGGTGCGGGGAGCAGGAACAGGCCGGACCGGGCTGGCGACGCGCACCATCAACTTAGTGCGGGGAGCAGGAACAGGCCGGGCCGGGCTGGCGACGCGCACCATTAACTTGGTGCGGGGAGCAGGAACAGGCCGGACCGGGCTGGCGACGCGCACCGTAGGCTTGGTGCGAGGGGCAGGAACAGGCCGGGCCGGGCTGGCGACGCGCACCATCAACTTAGTGCGGGGAGCAGGAACGGGCCGGACCGGACTGGTGACACACACCACTTGCTTGGTGTGAGGAGCGGGACTGGGTTTCTTCATAACCCTCCGCTCCCTCAGCTGCCTACACAGTTCCTCTCGCCGTGCCTCTACTCTCTCCTTCTCCCTTATCGCCTCCAGTAGCTCCTCCCTCTGAACCACTAACTCCTGCTCCCTCTGGACCAATAGCCCCCTTAACCTGGTGGCCTCCTCACCTAACCTCCCAATACGCCCTGTAGCTGCCTCCTGCTGCCCCGTCGCCCATGCCGTGTGCCCCCCCCTAAAAATGTTTTGGGGTTGCCTCTCGTCCGTCCGACGACGACACTGTTGACGCCGTTGCTCCTCTCTCCGTCGCGCCTCCACCGTCTCCTTCCACGGACGGCGATCCATCCCGGCCTGGATTTCCTCCCAGGTCCAGGACCCCTGCCCGTCCAATATCTGCTCCCACGTCCAGGCTGTCTGCTCCTGGGCACGCTGCTTGGTCCTATATTGGTGGGATCTTCTTCCGTGTTGGTTGTGTTTAGACCTAGGACGTCACGATATCGTTTATTGTTTTGTTCGTGTTATCACTGTTGATAATAAAGTATGTTTGCATTTCACGCTGCACCTTGGTCCTCCTCCTTCGACGTACGTGACACATAATGCTGTCGAAATGATGCAGTACAATCAGAGATTTATAAAACCAAACAGTGTATTATTAATAGTTGAGCAACAGAGATTCAATATTGTGGACAAAACAACAATAACGTTGCTTGTCTCCTTTGCAGTTCCAGTCGATGGTCTTAAGAGTCAGAAGTACTTTGATGAATTGCGGCTGACTTACATCAATGAACTTGATCGCGTCATTAACTATGGAAGGAAGTCCAACTGCTCTCAGAGGTTCTATCAACTCACCCGCCTCATGGATTCACTCCAACCGGTGAGAGACAATGTGCATCCTCAATAACTGTATATGATTTATTCTGTTATCATAGAATGTATCAAGCTAATAGCCTGGAATATAGATGACCTAATGTTAAATTACAGTACCAAGATTTAATGCAATATTTTATCTAAGTGATAAAAGTCTAAATTTGTCATGTTTAACTAAACAAAAACTGAGAATGTGATAGAATTGTAAGGGAGTGGTTAACATGAGTGTTATCTCACCTTATTTGCTGGGTGCTCTACTATATATGACAATTACTTCAAATGAAATCCCAAGTTCAAGAACATTGGGAAATGGCGGCACTCCAAAAAAAAAAAAGACGTCACTCATTTCACCTTTTGTTTTTGGAGGGGCAGGCTAACGCGTTTTCGGCAGTTATACCTTCATTACATTTACATTTTTAGTCATTTAGCAGACGCTCTTATCCAGAGCGACTTACAGTTATACATACTCTTCATCAGAGCATCAAGAGATGTGCCAAAGCCATCGTTTTTTTATGCAGGTGCCTAGGTGATAATTACAGTTGCCCACATCTGTGTGAGGGCGGTGCATAGTGGTATTCAAAACATTAGTCAACAAACAATTGCTACAATATACACTACCAGTGAAAAGTTTGGACACACCTACTCATTCAAGTTTTTTTTATTTATTTTTACTATTTTTTACATTGTAGAATAATAGTGAAGAGATCAAAACTATGAAATAACACATATGGAATCATGTAGTAACCAAAAAAAGTGTTAAACAAATCAAAATATATTTTATATTTGAGATTCTTCAAATAGCCACCCTTTGCCTTGATGACAGCTTTGCACACTCTTGGCATTCTCTCAACCAGCTTCATGAGGTAGTCACCTGGAATGCATTTCAATTAACAGGTGTGCCTTCTTAAAAGTTAATTTGTGGAATTTCTTTCCTTCTTAATACATTTGAGCCAATCAGTTGTGTTGTGACAAGGTAGGGGGGTATACAGAAGATAGCCCTATTTGGTAAAAGACCAAGTCCATATTATGGCAAGAACAGCTCAAATAAGCAAAGAGAAACGACAGTCCATAATTACTTTAAGACATGAAGGTCAGTCAATACGGAACATTTCAAGAGCTTTGAAAGTTTCTTCAAGTAAAGTCGCAAAAACCATGAAGCGCTATGATGAAACTGGCTCTCATGAGGGAATGGAAAACCCAGAGTTACCTTTGCTGCAGAGGATAAGTTCATTAGAGTTATCAGCCTCAGAAATTGCAGCCCAAATAAATGCTTCACAGAGTTCAAGTAACAGACACATCTCAACATCAACTGTTCTGAGGGGACTGTGTGAATCAGGTCTTCATGGTCGAATTGCTGCAAAGAAACCACTACTAAAGGACACCAATAATAAGAAGAGACCTGCTTGGGCCAAGAAACACGAGCAATGGACATTAGACCAGTGGAAATGTGTCATTTGGTCTGGAGTCCAAATTGGAGATTTTTGGTTCCAACCGCCGTGTCTTTGTGAGTCGCGGAGTGGGTGAACGGATGATCACCGGATGTGTATTTCCCACCGTAAAGCATGGAGGAGTAGGTGTTATGGTGTGGGGGTGCTTTGCTGGTGACACTGTCAGTGATTTATTTAGAATTCAAGGCACACTTAACCAGGATGGCTACCACAGGATTCTGCAGCGATACGCCATCCCATCTGGTTTGGGCTTAGCGGGACTATCATTTGTTTTTCAACAGGACAATGACCCAACACACCTCCAGGCTGTGTAAGGGCTATTTTACTAAGAAGGAGAGTGATGGAGTGCTGCATCAGATGACCTGGCCTCCACAATCCCCCGACCTCAACCCAACTGAGATGGTTTGGGATGAGTCGGACCGCAGAGTGAAGGAAAAGCAGCCAACAAGTGCTCAGCATTTGTGGGAACTCCTTCAAGACTGTTGGAAAAGCATTCCAGGTGAAGCTGGTTGAGAGAATGCCAAGAGTGTGCAAAGATGTCATCAAGGCTGGCTATTTGAAGAATCTCAAATATAAAATATATTTCCATTTGTTTAACACTTTTTGGGTTCTACATGATTCCATATGTTATTTCATAGGTTTGATGTCTTCACTATTATTCTACAATGTAGAAAATAGTAAAAATAAAGAAAAATCCTGGAATGAGTAGTTGTGTCCAAAGTTTTGACTGGTACTGTATATAGAAATACATACTCAAATATACAGTACATACCTAAATGCTATTTGTCGAGTTTATTGTGCTGATCTGTGTATTTATATATATAGTAACAATTGTTTTAATACTACTATGTACCACCCTCATACAGGCAATTGTAATTATCACTTAGGCAGTTGCATAAAAACTATGGCTTTGGCATATCTCTTGATGCTCTGATGAAGGCACAACTGCCAAAATCCGTTAGCCTGCCTGGACGAAAATGTAAAGGTGAAATGAGGTGACGTCTTAAACAGTGCCGCCGTTTCCCAATGTTCATTTGAAGTGACAGAATTGTAACTTTGTATTGTCTCTGTCCATCTCTCCAACACCCAGATCGTGAGGAAACTCCAGCAGTTTACATTTGATCTGTTTATCCAGGCCCAGTCTCTGCCCACCAAGGTCAGCTTTCCAGAGATGATTGCTGAGATAATCTCAGTACATGTGCCAAAGATCCTGGCAGGCTTGGCCAAACCAATCCTTTTCCACAAGTAGCAAGTAGCAGGATTTGCCATCATCCTGAGAAAATCTGATCCGATCCAAGCTGCCTCTATATACTTCAGCCAAAGCTCTGTAGGGTTTCCCTGCCATTGTTTTCTCTCTCAGCTCCTTTTCTTTTTTTTCATCGAATAGCTCAACGTACCATTTTTAAATCATTACATAATTACGGTAGTTTAGCCGCTTATCAGACATAATTGAGATAATTTTCTCAAATAGGTAGCAAGGTTTTAGCATTTATGTCAAGATTTGCAAAGTGTCACCTTGTTGACGGCCCTATCTGTCCTGTATTTCAAGAAGAAATATCACACAAGACCAGTGGGGTTATGTCAAATGTAAGAAACAGAAGAATACCATCCGTTGACTGAATGAAAATAAAACTAATAAAACGAAATAATAAAACTAACAAATGCAGAAATCGTTGAACATATCTATGCATAGCTTTACTTTTGGAACTTTCATGAGATTGTGCTATGTTCATTTTAAAAAACAACTACCAAAAGGAACGTGGAATTAGTCGTTTGCAACATACTCACATACATACACAGTAGTCTATCTGTATTTACTAGCTAAATTGCATATATATATATATATATATATATATATATATATATATATATATATATATATATAAATACAACGCATACATCACTACATGTATTGTACAGTACTTACAACTTTCTTGCTAGCTATTTAGGCAGTGAATAAACAATATATTCTAATGGTACCGTCATAATTTCATCTGTTTATGGGAAATGTTTTAATAATTCACCCAAAAGGGACTTACTAATTACATACACACAGAGTGAGACAATTGCAAATAATAACTTTTCAGATATATTTAGTGCAGTGGATCTCTCTATTGAGTATTTTAAAAGTATACTATAAAGATATAGTATTAAACCTGCTACAACTTGGTTGTACATTTTGTCTCTTCATGTAGTTTCAGGCGACCAAGTTAGTTGGTCAAACTGAACATACCCATAATCTCTCAATGCTGAAAATGCTCTTATAAGGTTTAACATGGCCTGAATATTATTTAGTTCATCATCAGAACGTACAGAGGTTCATGCTCCATGTGTTTGTAGATGTTAGAATGCTTCAATCTTTATTGAAATCAATGCATGCCAAATTCATGTGTCCCTTTGTAACCGTGAAGTAGTTGTATATTTGGCAAGTTCAGTGCAACTATGATTGTTATTGTGTTCAGAGTAATCTCCCATCTGCCATTCTACTTGTAAAAGCATGTTAACATTTCTTTAGTTTAGATTGAGTGAAGTCAAATAGTTCAGCTTTTTTCACATTATTTCTGATTAAGACATCGTCTTTTCTTGATGATTCATTATGGTTTTGCAGTTAAGTGCCGAACAGGGACATTGTCTTCTCTGCACTAGCAAAACATGTTGACATTACACCATTACTATACCAAAACATGCCTTTTTATACAATAATCTGTACTTTTGCTTGTTTAGAAAAGTAGTGAAAAACAACAAAAACAATAAAGAAAAGCTCTGTCATGAGATCCATTACATGCAAACAATGTTTAAAGTGAGTGTGGTCTTTTTGGTCAGATACCTCAACAAAAATGGCAACAGGTGCTAAACTGTGGGATTCAAGGATAGCACGGGATAGTCCCTGTCTGTTTTTATATCCCAACTGGATCTTAAATTACTACATAAAATCAAACTGTTTCATATTTTAGACTAGGTGAAATGCATTATCATATTTAGAATGTAATCAAATGCTTTTAAAATGCTGAAATCTTCATGGAAATATCTGGAAAACAGCAAAACTCCAGAAATATCACATTTTCATGGCCTCAACATCTGATTGAACAAATGGTGGTTCAAGAATGGATGAACCAGTAATGTTAAATGGAATTTGCTGGGAAGCAACTTGACGGTCTAAATAGGCTGTGGAAAGAATGGGTTGTCAGAATACACTTTACGTTTGACAGCCACAAGCACTATGCAATTACTTGCAGGTGTTTACCCATTTATAACAACACCATAGCTGCTTAATTAGAATATATGACTCCAGACTGAAACCTAGGCCAAGATGAAAGTGCTTTATAGAACAAAAGTGACTGTTAATATTTGTCCCTAAATAGACCACATCAAACCTACAACAGCTAGCACTTACTGTAATCAATTAGTGTTACAATACAATTGCTTCTCAGATTTAAAGCAGTGATTGATTGCACTTTTCTATGCCTGACACCATAAAAATATCCAGGGATGAATCAAGAGATAATTTGACGGCAGTAGTTTTTGTTGTTGTTTTATCACCATAAATGGCAATAACATGCATCCTTCACAACAATTGCACTCATTCTCAGACACATTTATGTGATGCATGCAAAAATAGAAGCTTTAGAACTCCAGTCTATCCTGGGCATGCAGAAAACCAGTAAATGTATAGTGCTGTTATATATTTATTCAATAGCTTGTGCATAAAGATCAAAATCAACTGTATACATTGTGACTTAAATCCTTTAACGCATATTACCGTTAGTCAATTGAGACCATAATCAAATGCATTTGTAAAAATGTAAGTTCAAGTTGTTGTTGTACTTGTGTTGTGAGGAACTTTAGTTGTTGACCACCATAATTCTTATAAATGTACTGCAATAATATGGATCTCAATTAAATCAAACCGCATTGCAATATTCAAGCAGTAGCACATATCTAAACATACCTTTTCCCTTATAAACAAAATGGCAAAATGGTTTTGGTAGACTCCCCCCACAGGATGGTGCTTCCAGTTTTCAGACACGTGTGCATGACAGCAGTTGTGTAAACAAGGATACTGCATAAATATTGCTATGGCAGATTTAATTGAATTCGGCCCTAGGTTACAATTGCCCATCTGAAAACATCTGATCTTTTCTTGTCGTAGAGACATTGGCTATGCCTACATAAAAGCAATAAAAATGTTAATTTGAATGTTGATACGAAAATGTTTTAATACATCAGATGACAATTTGTAAAAGCCATGGGCACATACTGTACATTGGTATTGGCGTATTCCTTTGTTAATCATCTTGATAAGAAAATATACTCATTACAGGCTTTTCCTCAAAAGAACATCCCAAATCAGGCACCTTAAATCAAAAGAAAAAATCTCTATGAGTAGTAATTCAATATTAAAGGCATAGATTTGCCTTAAAAAGCATAGATATTTTGTATCATATATTATTTTAGATTAAGTATAATTTATTCAATTGTCTGTAAGTAAAATTATCAGCAGTTGTGTCTACCATACTGAGCCCACATTACTTAACTTCAATTCTGAGTTAAATTCTGAGTTAAATTAGTTGGTAAAATTGTCTCTGATTTAAGAAAATTATCACAAAGATTAAGCTATTTCTCTTTATACACCTAGTAATCATACTATGACTGCTTTGTTTATCATATTTTATTTTTTCAACATGCTTTTTAGATTGACTTGGAGAACAGGATTGCTCTGCCAAGCAATAAACGACTTGACATAATGTACTTTACTTTAAATGTACCATGGTAGACCAATATTGAATCATAATGACAAAATGTATTTAAAAAAATCCAGTTCCTAGAATTGATGTTTTCATACTGTTGTTATTAGTGGTAAAGCTGGTATGAAAAATGTTATATACAAGCCAATTACATCACAAGTATATTCAAATGTCAAAATGGACATAGCTGTATGTATTTATAAACTATATTAACCTGGTTTTGTGTAAATGGTACAATGACTTTGTGTACATGTAACTGAAAACAAAAATAGTTATTGGGAAATCAATTGTTAATGCTTTTTGACTACCTTCTGTAGTATTGACGATGTATGTATTTAGTGATTTATTGTAATTTTTTATTCCTAAGTGCAAACTTGCATAACTTAAAGATATTTGAGGCAATTCTGACCATCAAAATGTACAGTGGGGGAAAAAAGTATTTAGTCAGCCACCAATTGTGCAAGTTCTCCCACTTAAAAAGATGAGAGAGGCCTGTAATTTTCATCATAGGCACACGTCAACTATGACAGACAAAATGAGAAAAGAAAATCCAGAAAATCACATTGTAGGATTTTTTATGAATTTATTTGCAAATTATGGTGGAAAATAAGTATTTGGTCAATAACAAAAGTTTCTCAATACTTTGTTATATACCCTTTGTTGGCAATGACACATGTCAAACGTTTTCTGTAAGTCTTCACAACATTTTCACACACTGTTGCTGGTATTTTGGCCCATTCCTCCATGCAGATGTTCCTCTAGAGCAGTGATGTTTTGGGGCTGTCGCTGGGCAACACGGACTTTCAACTCCCTCCAAAGATTTTCTATGGGGTTGAGATCTGGAGACTGGCTAGGCCACTCCAGGACCTTGAAATGCTTCTTATGAAGCCACTCCTTCGTTGCCCGGGCGGTGTGTTTGGGATCATTGTCATGCTGAAAGACCCAGCCACGTTTCATCTTCAATGCCCTTGCTGATGGAAGGAGGTTTTCACTCAAAATCTCACGATACATGGCCCCATTCATTCTTTCCTTTACACGGATTAGTCGTCCTGGTCCCTTTGCAGAAAAAACAGCCCCAAAGCATGATGTTTCCACCCCCATGCTTCACAGTAGGTATGGTGTTATTTGGATGCAACTCAGCATTCTTTGTCCTCCAAACACGACGAGTTGAGTTTTTACCAAAAAGTTCTATTTTGGTTTCATCTGACCATATGACATTTTCCCAATCCTCTTCTGGATCATCCAAATGCACTCTAGCAATCTTCAGACGGGCCTGGACATGTGCTGGCTTAAGCAGGGGGACACGTCTGGGCACTGCAGGATTTGAGTCCCTGGCGGCGTAGTGTGTTACTGATGGTAGGCTTTGTTACTTTGGTCCCAGCTCTCTGCAGGTCATTCACTAGGTCCCCCCGTGTGGTTCTGGGATTTTTGCTCACCGTTCTTGTGATCATTTTGACCCCACGGGGTGAGATCTTGCGTGGAGCCCCAGATCGAGGGAGAT